ATAAGCAATTTTATGTAAAAAACATGAATATAAAATAGGCTTAATCCACTATCTATGTAAAAGAGTAAGATATTTGACCTTTTTTGTGGTAGCCTTTGATACACATTATGTTCTTGTTAAAAGTGTATATATAATTTCACAACAAATTTGTTTTCATTTTCTCTCATCTTTGTGCGGAGGATGCATGTGTTGGGAGTAGATTTTGGTTTTCATTCTATTTTTTCAAGGAGAAAGCTGAGTGTATCTCAGGAAAAACAGTAGGGAGAACAGGCCAGCCAAGTGGCTGATGCTTGCAATCCACATTTTTAAACTAGCATTTGGAGAAACACAGTGCACATTTTCTGGATGTTATCCTGCCCTGTGACCATGCATCGGGTCATCAAGAGAAGAAGATATGCCTGGGAACTTTGCTGATAGTGTGGGGAGAATAGATAAGGTAGGTTTTGTAGGGAGTTAGTTAATTTCAAACAGAGCTGGGAGTTAGGTTTTATATTGAACACAACACAGTGAACTATATTTTATTATGCAGCAATTGCAGACTACTGTTGTTACTATTAAATTTCCCACTTAATATGTGGCTCTTTATTAACCCATTAATAGGAAGCAACACCGTTGCTTTAAACATTTACTACTACTTAGAAGTTAATTTTTGGTTTAGGTTACTTGGTGCTTCTATGAGCTTATGAGCTTATTTAGTGGTTCTTTTTTATGCCTGTTTGGTTTATGTAGCTGGATGTCAGAGTGGATTGCTTAGCTATGTTGTAGAACATTTTAAGAGAAACCACTTGGGAATGGCTTTGTGCTTTTGGTGGACAGCAGGATGGTGTGTTAGCTTATGGTAAGCCTATAGCACTGAGCTGATTCCTTTAGCACCAGGTTGAGAGTTTCTCTCCTGACACGAGAGGCAAAAATTAAACTTTTAGTACCCGATGACCTCTCTGCAACTGTGTCTGTCGTAAGAGTTGTCCCTTCTCTGTGGAATCTTATCTGCCTTTGGTAAGATTTCTCAGTCGTCTATCTGGGGCCAGCCAGGGTGACAGCTTAGATGTTGGAAGGCTCTCACAGGCTGATCCGCAGAGTGCTGAGGTTTCAGGAATGGCTATTATTCACCTGTAAGATATTATTATTATTATTTTTGCTAAGCTTCCTGCTTAGAAAATATGGTATTAATGTAGTTTTCTGGGCTACTAGCATATTATTTGCTTAGTTTAAGTTTATTTTATCCAGACATTTGCCAATGATTAAGTTCCATTAGATGATTACACTACATAAGCACATAGTTAGCCCCGTTATTTTATTCCTGTCATTAGTCCTGTTATTTTGAGGCAGTGCTACATCCTCTTGGGTCACAGCCTGATTCTTAGTTAATGTCATCAATTGACTGGTTAATGTCATCAATTGCTTCTCTAGTTGACTAAATACCCCAATTAAGAGAGGCAAGAGACAAGGTAGTATTAAACACCCTTTCAATATAATTACTACTGCCCCTGAATGTTTTACCTTCCCCCCACAAACATAAAAACCATCTTCCAAAGAGAGAGTCTACTGATTACCCTTTGCAAGTTTGTACTGGAACATGAGCTAGTTTTTGCATCCTAGTGGTAATTTCCATGACTGTTTGTCCATTATTATTAATGCCTAGACAGCCATTTGATAAGCTAAAATTTCCACATACTCCTCCTTTTGGGGCTAAAAGATAATCTAATGTTCATCTCTTTTGGTAAATGGCATCTCTCATCTGTGTGGCTTGTACAACTGGCAAATCAAAAACTCTGGAAGCTTCAGTGGTTGTGATATTTAGAAACATCTGTAGACTAATGATGCCATTTATCATATCGAATAAATGGCTATATCCCCATGACCCACTTTGCACCCAAGTAGCTGAGCCATAATAATCAATTATTCTTTCTAGGGGCCAGTCTGTGTTTTTTCAGTTTTCTATTTATTATAGAATTATAATTACACTTATTATAATTACACGAGCTTATAGTATTATTAGCCCAATGTGGGATTTGCTTACTTTGAGGGTTATAGGACAGGTTAAGCATTGTTTATAAATTGCTCAGGAAGTGACAATGAGCTGTGACATATAGAATTGGCACCCCAGTAGTATTAGTAGTGCTGTTTTTTCCATATGAGTTTCTTGGAGAAAGGTTTTACAAACCTGGTGGCTATTACTTCAGGAATTGCTAATTTTCCATGTAAGAACCTCCACCAATTTTTTTTATTATTATAAACTTCATTGTCCTGAGGAAACCAGGTCCTCTTATTTGGAAATTCATTTGACTTCTATTTAGGCAAGACTTCTGGGAGGAGACACATAACACAAGCTGCTTTTCTAGCTACTGTGCTGGAAGTGGGTTATTTATCACTGCACTCTTAGCCACTGCACCTGATTTCCAGCTAGGGTTCAACCCTTTTGATGGCCTTGACAATGTTTAACAGCTATTTTCTTAGGCTTTCATACCACATCAAAAAGTTGTAGAATTTCTTATGTGTACTTTACACTTGTTCCTTGGAAAGTTAGGAGTCCTTTCTTCTTGTGTATGCTGCCATGTACATGCAGCATAGCAAAGGCATACTTTGAGTTAGAATATATGTTGGTTCTTTTACCTTTTGTGAACAGCAATGGCTGTGTTGGCAAGCTTTGAGCCACTGCCACTGAATCTAGAGTTATAACTGCATATCCTGCGCATTTGACTCTTTCTGTTACAAAGCTGCTACCAGCAATAAAGTACTTAACATCTGGATTTTGGAGGGGCTAATCTGTATGGTCCTGTCTACTTGAGAATACTTTATGTACTATTTCTATACAGTTACATAGGTGAGCTTCTGGCTCCAAAGGAAGCAGTGTAGTAGATTTGAAAGTGTTTACAATATCTAAGTTTACACAGGACTTTTTACACAAAAATTTCTGGTATTAAGTTATTCTAGAATTTGACAGCCAGTGGTGACCTCTTTAATCCATTAGTGTAAAATCAGAGTGCGATACACTTACAGCTAACTGCTGCCCTTGAGTTAATGTATTAGCTTCCAGAACTGGAATGGCTGTAGTGGCAAGAGCCTTGAAACAGGGAGGCCTTTTTGGAGTCACTGAGTTTAGCTACTTGGATAGGTAGGTTATTGAGCAATGCCATTATCCCAACGTTGGGTTAAAAACCTAATGGCCAATTTCCTCCACTCATGAACATAGAGGAGAAAGGGGTTAGTTATGTCTGGCAGTCCTAAAGCAGGTGCCTCAACTAGAA